TGTGTGTGTGTGTGTGTGTGTGTGTGTGTGTGTGTGTGTATAGATCCCTGAGTCAACAGGGACAGACAGACAGAAAGACAGGCAGACAGAGATAGATAGATAGATGGATATATGGATAGATAGATAGATAGATAGATAGATAGATAGATAGATAGATAGATAGATCACTACATCCCACAATGTTGGCAAATGAAAAAGATATCCAGCAATGTTGTAACATCCGACATTCAGTGGCCACTAGTCTCGCCCTCTCATGCACATTGTATGTAACACTTATGGGAAAAGGAATTCTGAAAAGATCGCCTTATACTATCCAGCATCCATTGTCTTCTGCCCCATGCTCCTTATAGTATATCATTATTAGTAGTCATGCTGAAAGTGATCACCAGTGAAAAGTTAGGCGGTGTATGGACACTCTAAGAGCAGGTGCATGTCTCATGAATTTAGCAAGAAATGCAAATGATTCAATCAGACGGTTAGGGGGGTTTGGATTCCTATAGCATTTCTTTCGGGGAGTCATGACAGCATGTAGGTTAGCTGGGTGAACTCCAATGTGTGGATTAATAAGGAAGCCAGAGAGGGGTTGTAATCACATGTGCAGATTTTCCAACACACTGCAGAATATCTGCTGCCATAAACCATTAAACGAATGCTATTTTTTTAAATCCTTTTGTGCAGCATTGCAAAATCACTAATTGGGAATAAAAGGGAGTAAAGTCATCTTATATCCAGCCCATGCATGCATAGCTAGGTCGTCTGTTACTCTCAATGAGGATTCTCCTTGTCTGTGGCTAGCCTGCTCCTCTATCCCATATGTACTGTGTATGTGCTGCACACATGAATAGGCGATCATTCAGTTGCATTGTCTCACTGACCTGCATGGGAGCCTCGTGTCTCATGCTGCCTGTGGCTCTCCCTCTGCCTTTGCTATGGATGACAGATGAAGCCTCTGGTCGCCTCTGATAGATCTCACAGCAGCAAGCTCTTCGCTTCCTGACCGGCTCTAAGATCAGCACCGGAGCTGTCCACTCCTTTCATGTACTGCCTGCCTGCTGCGCCTCCAATGGATCTTGTAGTCCTAGAGCAGCTCATCTCTCCATACCTATAGCTATAGCATACGGCAGCCAGAGACTACAACTCCCACAATGCACCAGAACACAGCTCCCATCTGCCAGCTTTTTCTATAACAGTGTAACCTAAAGAGTAGAAAAGTGAAAGGGATCCCTAAAATGCTACCGGGATAGGGGGGATCTTGTAGATCCGTTGGCTCAATTCACAAAGGATAAGGATCTTTATTTTACCTATATGACTGTAAGATGTCAGCCTCAGCTGAGAAGAACTCACTTTTTTACATAAAGAGTCTTATCCTGGTGTGTTAGCTTTATGAATTGAGATTTCTGAGTGTGCAATCACTCCTGTTTTTCCAGCATGCATGTTCAGATCCAATGCTAAGTGAAAGTGCAATTAGTCCTGTTTTTTTTCCTGTATGCATGTTCAGATCTAATACTAAATCAAAGTGCAATGAATCCTGTTTGTTTCCTGTAAGCATGTTTAAATACAGAAATGAACTGAAAATGCAGGTAGGTTTTTTTTGGCCCTGCATCCATGTTCAGATGCTAGAACAAGGTGAAAGGGTACAGATGACTTACCTTCCCATATAAGTCCATATAATGGGGATCTGCTGGATATGTACAAGTTGGGCTGGATTTGATGTCCTGTTGTTGTGGCTTCTCAGGCTGGTGAAGCAAGGTGGCGTCTGTTGGCTATCAGCTCATCCAGCAGCTGGAGGAGAGTAGTCAATGTGCAATGTACATCACACACCAGGGCAGGGAGGACAAAGCAGCACAGCTCTCAGCAGCAGCAGCTACAGGAAGTGTCTAGTTACATTGCAAACACAGTACTAGTAATTAGCCCTGGGCTTGACTTAACAACAAGCAGAGATGGAAATACTCTGTTCCCTCTAGACACATATAACACATACATGGAGAGAGAGAGAGAGAGAAAGAGAGAGAGAGAGAGAGATAACACAGTGCAGAAGAATAACACAAGACACAAAGTGGTGAACAGCTCATAGTCCTGCCATCACAAGCATTCATGCCGTTGCTCAGTAGCACCCAATGGTAAGCGAGAAGGTGCATTATTGGGAGACGTAACTGCACATACATGCATAAAATCCAGTGAGGGCCAGGGATTCCTCGCATGGAGCAAACCGTATACTATGAAATATTCTCTTTGTAAAAGAAATTCAAGTGTAACTAAAGCCCAAACGTTTTTTGAGTTATGGATGAAGTGGAGAAGGGTTAGAGCCCCTGTCAGGTTGCTTACTGACCTCCTTGCTGGAGAGAAAGCTGTGCCAGATGATCTGGAGTACAAGGATCTCTCTGCTCCTACTTCCTTCATTCTGTAGATCTGTGCTTCCTCCACCACTCCTGCCGCTTTTTGACCATTACCTCACCAGTCATCAGATTACCAGTCATTAGGGGGGCAGCCCTGCTCCTCTACTGAAATTACCACCTTCACACAGATTTGCAAATAGATGTCACCAGCACACCATTTAAGTGAAATCAACAAAAGTCCATTTATTAATTGAGTACTGTCATTCCAGTACAAGCGATTTCCGGGCCACACAGTGTCCCCTTCATTAGGCTCAGAAGGGGATCCTGTGCGGCCCCGGAAGCACTTGGTGTGCTGGTGACCTCCTTTTGCAAACTTGTATGTCTTCACGGCCCCATACGTGGTCACTACTAGCACCCACCAGGATTTCAAGGAACATCCTATACCAGTAAGGAGTGCAGCAAGACACCTATATATTACTCACCTTCACACAGAGACACAGTACAAAACAAGGCATAGTAAGTCAGTAATAGGGAATGGTCAGCTGCAGGAAGCCCACAAGCAATACCGGTGACTAGTCCTTTGCCCTTCCCTTGCCTTTCTGGGCACAGCTTTTACAGTACAGGTCATCATTTCTTACTTTACTTACAGCAGTGCCACATTGAAAGAAAAACTTTCAATAAGCACTTTGAAGCAAAATACATTATACAGAACACTTCCAGTGTGGAATTTTCTTGTTAAGAAACATTAGGAAATTGGTTAAGGGTCTCATTTCTTGGGTAGAGCATTGTACAATGTGTGATACATGACAAAGCATGGCAATTATTATTATGTCCTTTTGTGTGAATATACTTACTGTAGTGGTCAGGCACTAGAAAGAACACAGGGTAACCAGGTGACTATGCGTTCACTGGGGGTACCATGTTGTTTTTGGGTGCCTTATGCGTATTATTGTTTTTTGTTATGGGGGTGAAAAGAATCCTTATAATGGCCATTGAGAAAGGCAGAAAGGAGTGTAAGTTTGTGGATAGGTTGGTGATCAAAACTCTTACAGTATTGTTAGGTGCTGGTATACAGTGTATGCTAGTTTTAATACAAGAGGTGGTACAAATGTTGTGATGGTTGCACACGGTTGACTATAGTTCAGGAAATCATTCCTCGTGTTGTTACACACAAAGAGATGCTATGGGCCACAACTCCACTTCAGCATTGCTCTAGTTTTTATACAGAGTCCTTTTTTAAATGTTCCTGACATATTTGCATGTCATCATTGAAGGATCTCAGTCTGATTCATATGACACACTAGAACCAGCCATTCATCATTCATGTTCAGAAGGCTCACATCCAACTTTCCACTATGGGTTATATTTTCCAGGTATGACACATGAGTATCATCCAAATGTGGACCATTGTATCAAAACATATCCAAATGTAACCTCATACTTCACATGATCATCATACGATCCAAGTGATCCAGTAACAATTTGGAAACCTGAGCTGGGAGATGGAATGCGGACATTGGAATTCAGTAATGTTCTGCAATTTCCTACAGAATCAAATCACAGGTATCCCTACGGGCTAGTGGGGTAGTGGTTAATGCTTCTGCTTTGTAGCAATAGGGATCCCTGGTTTGAATCCTGGCCAGATCACTGTCTACAAGGAGTTTGCGTGTTCTCCCTGTGCTTGTGTGGGTTTCCTCCCACACTCCAAAGACATGCTGGAAGGTTAATTGGCTCCTGTCTAAATTGGCCCTGTGTGTGTCTGTGGGATAGGGACCTTAGATTGTAAGCTCCTTGAGGGCAGGGATGAATGTGCGCTGCGTAAATTGTTGGCGCTATATAAATACTGATTAAATTTCTTGAACAGCAATGTTGCATGCTAAAGAAGAACTCCGGGCAGAAATGTTATTAACCCTTGCAGTGGGGCTACTCCCGCCCTACAAGGGTAAACTGTTCATTCTTGCCTAGGGTCAAAAAAAGAAAAGTTATACTCACCTGAGTTTCCGAACTGGCCGGTCAGATCCTCCCCTCTGGTTGACTTCTTGAATGGTTGGGATGTCCAAAAGCAGTCCAGCAGAGGTGTTGGCAACACAGCAAACAACGGCTAACAGGCCCATGAAATCCACTACCACTAACTCCAACAGGGAACGATAACGGAAGGAGACCCACAATTCAGAGGGCCACCTGAAGAAACATGTGGCCAATGCTAGTGTCTGCAGAGGCCTGAACCTCCACCTAGTAAAACTTGGCAAAAGTATGAACAGAAGACAAGGTGGCAGTTTTGCAGATTTGGGGAACCGGAACCTGATTATAAAGGCCCAGGTAGTACTAATGCCCCTGGTAGAGTGAGCCATTACTGGAAAGGGGGGTACTTTCAATCATAAGCCTGACTGATATACCTCTGAGTTAAACTGCAATAGTTAAACGAGAACCTGGCTGTCCCATGCAGAGATCTTCAGAAATAAGATATGTCATGACAACAGAAAGGTTTTATTTAAACATATCATTAGCATGTTCAGGAGGGGAAGAAAAGGAACCAGGCAATGCAAAATATAAGCAAATTAAATTTCAGCTTTCATTTCAGCCGAGCCAGCTATGTGACTAGACACGCATACACATACATGGCCATTTGCACTGCTTCACCAAGTCTCATTCAGAGACTAAAAGAGCAAATGTCAGCAGCAGAGACTCAGCATTAGTGATACAATTCATGTTAGATTTATGACCCATCAATAAGGTACTTAAATCAAGGCTTCAGTCCTCATTGTGAGCATTAATCAAGGAAAAGACAGTGTGATTGCCCATTTAAATAAATAACTGTTCTACCGTAATTCTCCTGAATGGCTCCTGTATCAGTCCTAACTATACACTCATTTTTGGAAATGACTTTATTAGACACATTTACACATGCAACGGCATTGCAACATTACAGCAAATTATGCATAGGTTACCAAGGCGGACTAATGGGTATTAGTCAACAATTGCATAGTTACCGTATTTGCCAGCGTATAAGACGACCCGACGTATAAGACAACCCCCTACTTTTTGTGTTAAAATATAGGTTTTGGTCTATACTCATCGTATAAGACGATTATAGCCCAAAATAATGTTTAAATGCACCCACTAACATCCATGGCGGTATTCCCAAGTGTGGCTCGGGGTTAATTTTCAGTACCATAAGCAGTAACCCCGAGCCACACTCGGGATTACAGTCTCTTACCTTGCCCACGATCCCCTCCGTGTCCTTCGTCTTCGGCCGAGCCAATCAGGGCAGGCTTTGTATTAATGAATACAGGCTTTGTATTCATTAATACAAAGCCTGCCATGATTGGCTCAGCGCGGTATACTGTATGTAGCCGGAGCTACATACAGTATACCGTATCCTTCCGTATGTACACGGCGTATAAGATGACCCCCGATTTTTGGGGGTTGTTTTAAGGTCTCAAAACCCGTCTTATACGCCGGCAAATACGATAGGTGTGTCAGACGACCATTGACATCATATTAATATTGAAATGCGGTAATCAAAAAGCAAATTACGACAAATAGATACACAAGACAGTGCAGATCAGCAAAACACTGAGTACACAGGGGATTTTTTTTCCTGGTTAGATGAGACTTCTGGTCAGTTGAATACCAGATAACTGAGAGTTTACTGTAGTAAGATTATGTACATCAAGCTGATACATTCTACACATACGGTATATTAAAGCACACAATCCCTTAAATTGGGCTTTTATGAGGAAGCTACATTCCAATGCCATAAAAAAAGGGAGTTTTAATTCTCTATAATACCACTGTCTCCACAGAGCTGCATTAAGCAAACGGACTTTGGTACAATAAAGAAATAATTGGATTTCACTGGTCTAAGTAACCTTAAATTGGTCTGGTACCTCGTTTAATGGATTACATGAAATGGTTATTTTTGTTAATACTTATTAAATTGTCCATCGTAATTTATGTATGGGGTTATAGAGTCCATATGTGGAAAATGGAGTTTTAAAAATAGAACCTGAACCTAAGGTAGCAAGTAAAGTGCAATAGCAAAAAGCAAAAGCCCCAATACACATACTGTATTACATATGTTTTTATATTAACGGGAAAAAATGATCTGAATTACAAATTAAATGGTTGAGCAAGAAAGTAAGCAACGGTCATAATAAAACTGTATATTACATTTGCAATATAGTCCCTATTCCGATGAAATGGAAAAGTGCAATAAATAAGTATAAAGTGCAGAAGCAATACCGACCAATCAGAATTTTTCTGACACTGGACTTACACAGATACATATGTATGTTAGTCGGATTGTATGAAAAAAAAACCCCATATCAATCAAGTGGAAAACAAAAACATTTTCAGAACCCAATTTGGAAAGCAATTTGGCAGTTTAAAAAAATCTTATTTGGGTGCAGACTGAAAAGGGAAGATGATTCGAAAACATTTAATAACAAAATAGCTTACATAACCCCTTAAGGACAGAGGACTTAAAAAAACAAAACAATTATAGAATAAAA